AGAAGAAACAAGAAAGTTAAGAGTTGTGATATCTATACCCTTTATTAATTAAAAACTTTTAGTGGAAAGTCTAAAACTATTAATGTAAGTTTTTTTAATACATTACATAATATACTTAATTTTATATTTAAAATTCTAGTTTAAAATACTGAAAAATGTTGTAAAATTTTATTTTTACTAAACAAATGTTTGTGTACTAAATAAAATATCCATTATTTCCATTCAATGTGTAGAATATTTCCTTCACAAATACATTTTTTAGCTTGGATCGCGTTTGGCTCTGGGTAAAATAAAGAATTCACATGCAAAATACTAGTGCATTGTATTCACTTTTCTTGTGTATCTTGTGTAAAAATGTCTTCAACCATTAATATATGCATAGTCTACTTTCCATTACTCATTGTTTGGGACTTATATACGTGTGCCTTTGTGGGTGTCTATATTTTTTTTTTTATTACTGTATATTTGTCCAAAGCTTTAATTTAGAACTTACCACATTTACTATTCCTTTTTTCTCTATTGAAAATTGTCTTTTGAAGAACCACAGTAAAAAGAAAATAACAAAACTTCAGAAGGTTTTGTAATATCTTTAAAAAAGCATTTTGTTTGAGCATTCTTAAAACTACTTACAAAACAGTACCCATTTCAAATCACTACAATTTCAAGATATACATTAAATAATTAACAAAAAAAAACAACATATGATATTGAAAAAGCAACAACACAAGTATGCAATGTAGATGTATCTGCAGAATATCATTGCAGAAGTGGTTCAGTGTGTTATATACAATATCTCTTTTAAAGGAAAGCTTTCATATATTCCAGGAGATAGCTATAACTACACAAAAAATACAATGACATTAAAATAACAGATGCTTCAAACTGCTCCAGGCTTATGAAAAGGTCAAAGGACAAGTATATTGACTATAGAGGACAGCCATTCAGAGTAAGGTGATGCTAAATTTAATGCTAAGATGTGCTAAAATTTACAAGGATGGGGCTGTTGTACACTCAACAGTGAGAGATTCAACATGTAGGTTTGTTGTACACTCAACAGTGAAGGATTCAACAGGTAGGGTTGATGTACACTCAACAGTGAGAGATTCAACATGTAGGTTTGTTGTACACTCAACAGTGAAGGATTCAACAGGTAGGGTTGATGTACACTCAACAGTGAGAGATTCAACATGTAAGGTTGATGTACACTCAACAGTGAGAGATTCAACATGTAAGGTTGATGTACACTCAACAGTGAGGGATTCAACATATAGGGTTGATTACACTCAACAGTGAGGAATTCAACATGTAGGGTTCTTGTAAAATCAACAGTGAAGGATTCAACAGGTAGGGTTGATGTACAATCAACAGTAAGGGATTCAACATGTAGGGTTGATTAACACTCAACAATGAGGGATTTAAAAGAGTTTATGTACACTCAACAGTGAGAGATTCAACATGTAGGGTTGTTGTACAATCAACAATGAGAGATTCAACATGTAGGGTTGTTGTACTATCAACAATGAGAGATTCAACATGTAGGGCTGTTGTACTATCAACAGTGAGATATTCAACATGTAGAGTTGTTGTACTATCAACAGTGAGAGATTCAACATGTACGTTTTTTGTACACTTTTATTTGTTACTTCTCATATGAAACAACTTATTTCTGGAACTATATCATTTGATTGTTTAAATTACACTGTATTGATCATTCACTTAATTATCATTTTTCATATTTTAACTTTAGTGGTCAACATATGCTTTGCAGTTAAATTAAGACACAAGCACTTGTAGAGGTTTATTTCATATACTTAAAAAGAAAGAAGAAAAAGTAACCAGTCTTTTCTTAATGGATTTTTACACAAAATTTAGATTTCAAATGATGCCCCTTAAGAAATAAAAGAAATTTCTATATAGTGTTTGCTATGAAATAATACATAGAAAACTTGTACATACCACTGCTTGATCAGTGGAATGTACCTGTTCAGAGTGGAACAAAGATGGCACATATTGACATGTAGACAACAGTTTTTTTACCTACCATCTTCCTCGGTGCATATATTAAGTGGTTTGGAAGATGGACCATCACCAATGACAGTGCCTGCCAGCACCCATACATGATACTCTGTCCACTTCTCCAGCCTATCAATGGTAAACGAACGTTCATCAGGGCCAGTCTGGATCTGACGGGCCTTGCTTGGATCGTTACCCTCGTCGGCCTTCAAGTACTTGAGTTTATAGTAGGTGATGTTGCCATTCTGCTGGTCCAGGGGAGGGGGTTGCCAGGTGATGTGAAGGGATCGGGAGTTTAAGGCATAGCCGTGGACATCTTGGGGAGGAGCGCCAGGCACTGCAGGAATGGGGAAGGTAAGGGTGGACAGTGCCGGTTATGTGCAAATGGGAAATTTTACAAATCATAAAAATAAATAAAAAAACATAAAATAAACAAAATGGTATTTCCTGGATAACAAAGATTCTCAACAATAATGTTTATTCCAAAAGGAACAGATAAAGTTATAAAAACATAAAGCAGTTTATAACTAACTTGAACAGATCTTTATTTTTAATGAATAACAAAAAAATCATCTATGAAATACAAATCACTTTGAAAATTGATTATTCTAAATTACTAGTGACTAACTTTCAATTAATTCTGCACATGTAGTGATCCCTTCAACACTCATATACTATACTTCATCTAATTCCCAGACAGATATGTATGAATCTAATAAAAAAAAAAAAAAAGATAAAAAAAAGAGAGAAATAAATAGACTCTAAATGATGCTGATCTATCATCATTTGAGAATACTTAACCAAACAATAACAAAACTTAAGTTCACTACTCCTTGGATTACTGTGAAATCTGTAAAGGTAACTTTATATTGGAAGCAGGGAGTAAAAATATGGAGAAGGTAAGGTTAAGTGATTGTGATGAGGTCAAAAAAGCAACAGAGAAGGGAAAAAAATGCCTTTTTTGTATCCCATTTTAATGTTTTATCTTGTTCTAAAGCAAGAAGCATTATATGTGGTTGAGTATATATTACAATAGCATCATTATCTGTAGTTAAAAAGCATGTTCTTCTGGGTGTTTGTGATTTTCCATGTTTATGCAGTACCTCTGCTGGAATAATTTTATCAAAGCTTCTAATACCAAATATGAATTTATATAAAAAGAGCGGAAGTGTGGTCTTTGAATATTAAAAACATTTAACCGAAGAATTAATTGAATTTGACTACTAAAAAGAAACTAACCAAATATCTAAAACTGATATTTTTTTAATTAGGATCAACTTACTAATTCCACCTACTACAAATACAGTTACAAATCATGCATGTAGACTGTATAGTCTTAGGAGCAAGTTGTTGATGATCAATCCAACAGGTAATAAGTGAAACTCCAAGTACTTCAATGTGTAACTCAATACACTGTTATTATTACTGAACTTTGTTCAAAGCCTGAAGAAAGTTGGGATCATCAGCTTCACATTATTGGTTTTTTTCTCTCATAAAATAAGAACTGAAAATATGAAGCTATTTTTTACCCTTCTCTGTCATTTCATTAGGTTCAGCTATCATCGATTGGTGCAAGGGAAAAAAGGCAGTGCAGCCTTGGCAAGGCTAGGAAAATACAACATGCTTTGTTTCACTGGTGTGACAGGCCAAGGGATGGATGGACAGGAGCTTGCCAAGCAGTTGGCAACTGACCAAACCATTTAATTACATGAGTGAATTACAGTCCACTACATTTAATGTTGGAAATGCAAGAAAAGAACTTAGCTGGTATTCTACTAGTTTAAAACTGTTAGTTTGGTTCAAGTGCTTCCATTTATATATTTGCTAATGGTTTCTATGGACCACAAACTTTCACAAGGACAGTGACTTCAGGGAAGTTATACACTTACTTTTCTGGACTTTCAAAATGTAGAAAAGCCTGAAACTTGCAGAGTTGGGCAGTAACTGGGTTAATGTAAGGTGAAAAGTCAGTACAACATTAACGGATAAATATAATAAAGATATTGAAGTGAGAAAATAACCTGTAGTACATGTTTGGTATTTGCTTTTAATCTTAAACACATTACTAATGTAGTTACTAAACCTTCAAAAACTCATTTGAGGTAAGTTTAAGATAAGCTTCACCTTTTCTTATGCTTTGATTTTTTGGTTTATGTGTGTACAAGAAGATAATGGAATTTTCAATAAGTTTACTATTTTTTACAGCACAGCCTTAATTTCCTTCCTAAATTAGCACAAAAGTGTGTTAAACAGACTCCAGTTCTTGTTTCCAATGTCACCTCAAACCAATAGTATCATCAGCTAGTAAACAAAATATACACAAATAAATAAAGAAATACATGTATATGAAATGACAATTGATAACAACTTAATACAACCTGTAAATTTATTATACACTTTGATAAAAAATTTCTAAATAAAATAAAATTCTTTGCTTATTTAATTATTTTTGCCTTTTATAAATTGTCAAACTATTTAAGAATCTATCTATTGAAAATAATATTTTTTTGGGGAAATTAAAATCAATATTTGGTCTACATACACACACATTAACACAGAGAGAGAGAGAGAAATACATCAACATACCATACTGGTCTGTTCTAACAGCAATGGGAAGTGTTGCGGCACCTTCACCCCTCTTTGATTTGGCTGCAACCCACACATAGTAGACAGTATTTGGATACAGATCACTAAGTGTGTAAGATTCTATGTTGGGGATTGAACGATGATACTGTTGGTGGGAAAAGGTATCATTCCAATAGAGTTCAAAACCTATGATGTTTTCTCCGGAATATTCTGGGCGTTTCCATGACAACTCTACTGTTGTTGATGATGTGGGAACAGCTTTCATGTCACCTGGCTGACTAGGCACTGCAAGAACACAACATAAAACCTTTCATTTTACTGTAAAACAGAGTAGGCTTTGAAGTTTTAAAACTTAATTTTTTTTTTATTTATTTACTACATATATGATGATTTCAAGACAAAATGGTGTATCATGATAAAATAATGTGTTACAAGAAATATGTTTAGCAATACCATAACCCATAAATATATTTACAAAATTAGTTTTCACAAGCAGAGAAGAACTTGGAATTAGTATAGTTAGTTTTTAAACACTGAAAATAACTTAGAGTTATTATAAATGGATTTAACAAACTGGTAAAACTTGAGGATAGTATAGTTAGTTTTCACAAACTGATAAAAACTTCTGGATAGTATAATTAATTTTTGTAAACTGAAAAGAACCTGAGGTTAGTATAAATAATTTGAACAAACTAACAAGAACTTGAAATTTTTAGTAAACTTCATATCAAAAAATCGATATAATGAAAATGTAATAAATATTTTAAGGTGTTGCCACACATTTTAAAGTCAGTAGGAACTGCGAAACCATGAAAACAGATACTAAGACTTATACAAAAGAAAAAGTAAGTAAAAACATAAAATTATAGGATAAATAAATTGCATTTCTATTATAATAATAAGAAAAAATATAATTAGAATAAGATTTTAATTTAAAAAGAAAAGTATATTGACTAATTATATTTATTTTTGTACATTTATAATGTACTTAATTTATACGTTTAGCTGAAAAGCAGTATTCGTATATATGTTGTTGTTTTTTTGTTACAGATTCTCAGTAAAACTATTTCCTGAAGTCATGAAACCAGCAGAAGAAATGAATAAAAAAAGAAGATAGTCTGATTTCCATGTTTTTCTTACATA